TTTCGTCTTTGCGATACCCTTGACCTTTTTATAATGTTCTTCTAGAGCCTTTACCTATATCATAAAGTTTCCTATCGTTATGTTCCAATGGTTTAACAACATATTTGTCGTATTTTTCTTTGGAAGTTACAACTGGGTTTTTCCGTAAAATTTTCTCCTCTTCCACAGCATCTGTCGGCGGCTAAAAACGAATTAAACGCACATAGTGATTCATTTCGTGAAAAACGACCACGTGTTCCAATCCCACTCCCGAGTCCCACCCATTTTTGGATATAACCGAGTTTGATGCAAAACAGCGGATTGGATTTGGCCGAGTTTGCTTCAAAAGCTAGTTTTTAAACGGCAATATACTGATGAAATAACCGCTTTTGCTTCGAAATAACTGCACCAATCGATAGTCTGCAATATAAAGTTTAAAATAGAAGAAACAATTTTTTTTTCTAAATTTGGATATAGCCGGTTTTGCAGCAAGCTCCTCAATTATTATATCCCAGACGGACTACGATTATTTCCTATTTATTATAATAAATTTAATATAATCTCGGTAAGTTCTCAACCAATCTCCTTGTTTTTAGACTCGTTAAAAAGGGTGGAAAACGCACTATATGACTTGTGTATGGTCCTCATGGTTTAATTCATCGCAATGTTGGTGAATGCCACTGAAAAATGTCTAACCTTCTACAATCCGTCTGATTGAAGTGAGTGGAATTATGTGAATGAGAAGTTTAGAATCAAATGGTTTGAAGGATCTCAGTAGTCAGTATCCTATCGCTATCTCTGTCCTTTTTGCTCTCGCGCGCTTATCTCCCTGTCGTCACCAACGCTACACTTGAAATCGTCTGCCATAGCATATTTGAAAACTATCGAAAAAATGCGATTTCTTGGTACAAATCTTTTCCGTGGTCCTTATAGTTTAGTAATTTCGTTGATCACCCAAAGAAGTCACTTATTCACATTATTACTATGTACGCTGCCTCCCGGTCTAATATGATCCAATTTCAATACATATCAATTTATAGTTGGCGTCCACAAGTGCTAGCAATACAATCGAATGGCTGCTTTTGTAATTATAAAATAACGAACCTCCGTTGATGGGACAACGTTTATGTGTTTCCCATCAAGGGCCCCAATGCAATTGGGGAAAGTGGTCGAGGAGCTACCAAAATATCTAAGGGAAAATACGAGCAAGAAATGAGTTTTTTGGAACCATGCCTGGAATGTCATGTAGAAAAAACGTAGATTCATCTCCTGTCCATGAGATGGTACGTATAATGAAGATGAATGCTGAGCGTCGGAAACAAAAACGTGAAGAAAGATCTACAAAAACTGGAGATATGGATGAAGTGTAGACTTGTTTTACCTCAGCATGGCAAAAACTGTAAAAAAGTTAAATCCACTGGCACAAACTACAATACGGATGAACCTTTGCAAATTAGTATCTGAAGCAGAGATACGAGAAATACATAGTGTTACCCAAAACAGAATCCAAAACCCAGGGGAATTTTCGTCTGGCTCTAGTGCCACGTCATGCTCGGCGCCTTCCCTTGACAGAACGACGCCATTATCGTCTTCGAACTACGGACACATCCTATCGACAAGCACAGTACCATATACCCAATTTCCTACCCTCAGGAACAATATTTATCATGTTCTCCGTCAAATCCAAATTTTACTTCATTATAATTACCTACGTCTTGTACTTTTTCCTACCTCTTGAATAACTTCTAATTTAAAACTGTTATGTTTATCGGTTTGTATGGCATTTAAGTTCATAATAAATATAGAGCATAACATAGCGATTTACTTGCAAGTAAATAGAAAAATGACACTTACCGTAAACACACTGTTAGACGCTCTTTAGAACTTATAGGTTTTCGAAAATTAGTATGCATTTTCACTATTCGTGGTTCTAACAATCTATGAACGTATCCGAAATCAGTTTTATCATCCGAAAATACATCTGGAATCTGCTGGAACAATCTTCTGTTTCCAAAAGATTGATCAAGGTGTGGTATTCCCCGAACTCGTCTCGCACACGATTAATCTGGTGGACCCAGAATTTCTTATACTTTCTCCTCTCTTTGGCAACCACCACTGCCGATGCAGTCTCCTCCATTTCTTCTTCAAATTCGTCTGATGACAAATCATTGGAATGTACATCCATTGCGCTCGGTGTCTATCGTGTTACTGAACTTTTAACTGCTTCGGGTAAGGTAGCGTGGCGTGGCATCAGAAAAATATGCACATTGTACAATCTGATGCTTCACGCCACGTCGCGTGGCGTTGCATCAGGCTAATGTGTTTCTACCTTTTTCATTGGACGTTAACTGAACAAATTACGCGCGATAGACTCCTTGATATGCTCACCACCGTTCGATAATTATCGCTTGTGATAAATCAAGAATACCACTGTGGGCTACAGTGCGCTACAGTTTCGAACAGAATGGGATTTGCGCTCGTAGCCGCGTCTGTGTAAACGCCATTCGGCTGTATAGGTTGTTGACGTATGTTCTAATTTTTTTTAATCATCACTCTCCTTGTATCCCCAGCATCAATAGCAATAAACTTGTAAATGGGTCCCACAACGCCTTGTAATACAAGAAGGATTGTTTGTAGTTCCTGAACATGATTCCAGAATGACGTGGGTTACGCATGCGCACATGTTTTCCGTCTATACAACCAACACAGTTTGGGAACTTCCACTTTGTGCGTAGTCTGTAATGTGTCCCAAATAGCCATGCTTGTCTCTTTTACAGGTGATACATACGTTTACCTTGACGCTGTAGGGCGTGTTATATCCGTTTTAACCGTATCTGCACGTACCCCTTCGGAAATATACAGGACAGCAAATTTGCCGCGAGACCGTTAACCTGATTCGTGAATGCAGTCGAGTCTTTCCCGTTTTGTTTTATATTTGCAAGTTTTGCTTCGGCTATACGAGATTTTTCGCGTTGGCAACGTTCTTTCAAAACTGTAATTACCCCGTCTGAATCTGCAACCTCAGCTGGTACCGCCAACCTTGTTTTTCCTGTTAATCTAGATTTTACGAATTTCCATGCATTTTCATTGTGACCTTCCGAATTTGCTTTTAAAAGTTCTAACGCATCTACGAGTGAAACTAATATCAGCGAGAGTAACTTGGCAAATGCTTGTATTGTTCGATCCCTAAGTCTATCAAATGCTTTTTAGATCCATTCTTTATGTTTCGGGGTGAATCTATGCCAATAAGAATTTGCAAGCTGTACAAACTTATTAAATAATTTTATTTTTTGCGCGATCGGTCATTTCTGACTATTTACCATGTGTGTTTCCATGACAGTAAGTTGAATTTACCAGTTGCTATGATTACGACGACGTCAAAATTACTTACCGATCTAAAAACAGAACAGCAAAAATACTTACCGACGCCTTTTTAAAAACAATCAGTTCAATATTACATTTAATCTTTAATTATTGTTACATTAAATGTACAATTTGTGCTGATGTTTCGTATACAAAGAACACGTCATTTAAACCTGAAGCAATAGAGATCAATGTGTTTAAAGTTGTGCTTTCGTTTTTCTTAATACATTCCAATTACAATTTTGTTCTGTAAAATCTTCGACATACCATTCGGCCACCGGCGAATACCTCGCTCATAAAGTTATAACGGAAGTGCAAAGCTAGCAAACTACATCAGACACATGCACAAGAAATTATTAATTTCAGTTTTGACAAATAAACTGGTTACCTAGTGATGTACACCATACCACTTCGATCATTGCAATTTATTCTGCTCGTTAATTTCTTAGTGCATATTTATATTGGTTGTATAATTTTAATTTCGATCGCGCAAAAAATGTTATAAGCACGTCGAACGTTAAGGGTTACCGTTCTCAGACAATAATTGGAGTCGTCGCTCCGCTCCTCCTCCAAACAATTGTCTTCGAACGGTAAAAATTCCTTACCGTTCTCCATACTTAATATACTATAATTTTCCGCAATTTCTGCCCTAACAATTTGTTGCTTTAGAACCTGAATTTTAATAGCTCTTTTGGCCTGATTGTTATGCTCACTTTTAATTTGTAACAACTTTTGGATATCTTCCCATATCCTCGACATGTACAGCTATTCTCTTAAACGCCCTACAGACGGTACGATTTGTCGTACAACTTATCGTACGACTTAGATCGATACTACAGTCTGACAGATAATCGTACCGTGTGTAGCGATGTCGTACGACGGATCGTTAATCGAAATCGTATTGGATGGTAGTATGAACCTGCCATAAAACTTGGCGTACTACTCGACTTGCAAATTGCAGATCGTATCGTGTGTATGTGAACTGTGCGATATCTGACCAACTTTAGTACGATTTCGACTACAGGAAAGGTGAGTCTATTATTTGGGTATTTCTCGCTACTTACCTTACTTTTATTAGAATGGATGCTAAATATAAAGATTTTTGGGAGGAATTCATAAGCTTATACAGACAACATAGTTGTTTGTGGAATATAAAGTCGAAGGAGTATGCAAATAAAATTAAACGCAATTCAAGTTATGAAGAATTGCTAATAAAATATAAGGAATTACACCCCAACGCCACAATAGACATTTTGAAAAAGAAGATCAACAATATTCGAACAATATTTAGACGTGAATTAAAAAAAGTTAGTATATCTGTTTGTATTAATCGTTAATTATAGTCAGAACAGAATGTTTTCATTATGATTGATATTACATTACGTGTAAAAGCCTTCATGACAAAAATGGGGTAATTTTAGGTGCAAGATTCTACCGGTACAGGTAAAGGAACAGATGACGTTTATGAACCGAACTTATGGTACTATGACATGCTATTGTTTACTGCTCACTGTGAAACTGGTCGAAAGGGAAGAGCTATCGACGACAGCGATACGGAGGAAAATACCCAAGAACATATTTCTGTGAGTGAAATATATTTGACTTTCATTGATACATCAGCAATAGTATAATAATGATAACCAAAAATAATGTTATGTTTATGATATCATTTGTTCTTGAAATGCGACTTGCCCAGTACTATTATAAAAGCGCTTGTAGCTATCTCTTACGTTTTTAGTTGACACTGTTGCGTTAGTAATTTTGGTTTTTTCTAAGCCCCTCAAATTTCCAGTTTGTCGCCACTCTCCGGGAATTATAGTGCTGTTGTTCATATCTTCACGGTCAATAGAAACTTCCGTTATGTATTTGCCTTTTGATAGTTTTCTCAGAAAATTGTGCAATGCACAACACGCCAGTACTACTATGTCAATGTTCTTAACATCAATTGCTATGGGTTGCAAGAATATTCTAAATCGCGATGCTAATATACCGAATCCATTCTCCACAACCCGTCTAGCTCTGCTGAGACGGTAATTAAATATCTTTTCGTCGTGCGTTATGTGCTTTTGAGAATATGGTTTCATTAGATTTGGGATTAATGGAAATGCCTCGTCGCCAATGAATACGTATGGTACTACATCGTCCATTCCAGGCAGTTGAACAGGATTTGGAATTTCTAATGTTTTGGTAACCAAACGCTTATAGATTCTCGTCTCACACAATATTCCACCATCTGATACACGACCATTAGTACCCGTGTGCACATATATAAACTCGTAATTGGCATTAACGATAGCAAATAATACTACACTAAAGGTGCCTTTATAGTTATAATAATACGAACCACTTTGTGCCGGTTTTTTTATGAGGACGTGCTTACCGTCTATCGCTCCTAAGCAGTTCTCAAATTGCCAAACGTCTTTAAACTGTCTGGCAATTTTTTTCCACTCCTCCTCTGTGGAAGGTACCTGCAAATACTTGCTATAATTAATAATTATGGTCATATGAATAGGAAAAAATTGTTTTATAATTTACTTAAAAATGATACATATTATATATGTTACATTTCAGGGGAATGAAGCCGAAGAAGAAAGCGCGGATATTGACGTTCAATCGCCGACCTCGCTGTTATCACCGGCAGGCAGTTCTTATAGTATAGAGGCACCAACAGTTGGTCTACAATGTTCAAATGCGTCTTCTAATAATACTCCCTCTACTAGCAGACCAGCATCTCGTTCTTCACAGCCACGCAAAAGATCAAATGTAAAAAAAAATTATTTGGAGGAAAAGAAAGCATCCTTATTAAATCTAGCCCACACTGCGTTACTTTCTGACGATGACGAATACACTGTGGTTGGGAAAAGAATTGCTTTTCAGTTGAAAGATCTGGGCGACAACCAAAAGATTATAGCCGAAAAGCTGATTTCTGATGTTATGTACTTCGCTAAATTAGGAAAATTAAGCGAAGATAGCAGAGTAGAGCCATTTACCAATACGCCCATTGCACAGCTACCAACTTTTGGATCAAATATACATCTACTGCAACCCATTCAGCGCCAAGCACACGTATCCCAACACTCAACCCATACTGTTCAACGAACTCATCAGACGTCATCACAACCTTGTTTCCAAACGCACGATGCCTTACCTGCTTCAAACGATATACCATTTTCATTATCTGACTACATTAATTTTGCCAATAATGATGGTAAATAAAGGACTACAGAATAATAAAGTGTTTCCTTACCTTTAAGTAATCCTGTTTTAATGATTCGTATATAGCCTGACACGTCTCAGGGATGATTTTGCTTAAAGACTGCGGAGAAATTCCTGTGCTAAACTTTAAATCCTCGTAGGAGTTTCCTGTTGCCAAATATCTTAGAGTAACTGTCAGCCTTTCCTCGGCAGTTATCGCATTCCTCATAAATGTATCTTGTTTCGTAATCTTGTCTCGAACTAATTCCAACAGCGACTTATATGTGTCACTGTCCATTCTCAAATAATTTTTGAAATCGCTTGGTTCAGTATTACGCAGCTCATCAAGTAATCGAATATGAGAATACATGTTCCTATTCAATAACCAATTCTTACACCATTTCCTTCTTTTTTTTTTATGTGCATCTTCTAAGTCATCTGACAGGAGTACTGACATAATAACTGCCGCTTTTTTCTTTTTTGACATTTGACGTCACTGTGCTTTTAGTCACCTATCATTGTCAACTAAAGTTTGCTTTTATAATTTGCGACATTTGTCGTTCGACTTATCGTTTACGTTTGTAGGGAATCACGTCGTACGACAAGCTGAAACGATGTTTGATACGACTTGTCGTACGATAAGTTGTACGACAAATCGTACCGTCTGTAGGGCGCTTTAATAAAATTAGCTACTAATAAACCTTAAAATAATTACTTAATAGACCAATAATATTAATAATAAGTGGGGGAGAAAAAAAAGTGTTACCATACACTGAAAGAATTTTTTTGGTACTGCATGCAAAAATTTATATGATTGTGCAAATTTTATTACTTACATTTGGAACAGCTAAAATATTTGGTACTATAGAAACTATTTTTTGCTAGTTTTAATTTGCCGTGCTAGCAAATAATATTATGTGTGATAACTTATAAATTTTGTTGAGGAGAGTTATAACGCGCGAGCTGCAAAAGGCAAGGCGCTACAAAAAATACCATGTGCTTTTTAAATAAAAACACACGCCGCTGACCGGCCAGCTAGCTCTGTTGACAAAAGGGTAAACAGCGGAGAGAGCAAGACAATACAGGGACGTAGGTAAAAGAATTCAATACAATTGGTAATAGCTCCGTAGCTATCCTCGATTTCAACTCAATCTTCTCTACTTACGGTTAGTGGTTCTGGTAGAGTCTTTTGGGCGCCACCTAATTCGTCCAATTTCGCTTATCACTACCCGAACTAGGAAAGGTAGTTTAGCTTGAAAAATATGTAACTATAATCCCACAAAAATAATTATTTATTGGGGTGCTCTGCACCTTCATAAAAGCACAACCAAAACTTCGGTTCCCCAATGGGAATCCCAAAAACTTAGGTCTAACTATGAGGCTTAAAAAATAAATACTCCAAATTAATTCAAACATAAAACATTTACAAAAAAAATTTCCCCCATGAAATACGGAATAAAACCCACCAGAATCTCTGGGGTCAGAACACAAATATTGTTACCGTGGCACAAGTGATGAATTAGATAAAGTGATTTCAATCTCTTAATCGGTAGCTTGGGGGCAATGAAGTGGTTCAAGTCGTTACGAGGTCGTACGTTACATACTGGTTATTACCTCGTACATGGGAGTAATACTTAAGTGATTATCAATTATCGTATCCCAATATTCCAAGCTGACTAATTAACAGTATTACTATTGGCTTTAGTGCATATGCCAATTACCACAATGAGGATCCAATTCAATACAAACAGATAAATTTATAACATTTACATCACCACAGGATCAAATATTTACGTCTGAATGGCTCCTCTGGGTCCTGGTGTAAGTCTTCTACGTAGTGCAATAAAAAGGTGTCGGTTATTAGAAGAGTTCGGCTTAGCCCGCAAGATCGTAACGTTGCAATGCTAGACTTTACGGCACTGCTCTGCAATATTCTGTCGCCTAACTTCCCAAGTTCAATCCATCCTCAATAACCCCATTCGGTACGTAGATCGGTACAAGGATTTTATCTAGTACAAGGACTCCTATCCAATACAAGGACTCTAAAAATATAACCTAATTACGACTGGTTCTCACTTAAATATAGACGAACGAACCTCTAAGTAGAGAGTAAACAAAAAAAACTTCGTCAAACAGCAAGTAATGTAAAAGGCGTTATATCGTGGATCGGATCGGTATCGATGAGTGTTTCGGCTTCAAGATTAAAATTCCATTTCGGAAAGTTGCTGTCGATTTAGATTCCTTAACGACACAACATTTAAGTTCGTTGGCAAGTAAAAATGCTTTCGCAAATGGTTAATTCACCAACGGAACATGAAGATGGTAAAACACACACCGAATCCCAGTCAAACACACACGTTCCTCCTGCAAGTTCTAGCGAGAAGACCCCACTTTCTTTCCGAATTTCCGGCTAGTGCAACGAAGAAATTTATCTCCAACCAATTAAATCACAGAACGGCCTTTACAATACCATATAAGGAAATCTCCAAAACGCTTATCGAAAACGGAAATGAATTATCACCAATACGAACATAGATAGATATGAAAATAACACCAACGCAAATGCATAAAGTTACTAGATGGGTTGCATTCAGCGCGGCGCAAAAAGTTATACACAGAGTGAATAAAAGTGAAATATAGACAACATGTTGGCATTGTTTTAAAACTGTTACAGAGTATTGCATTTGCAATTGAAACATATCTTTGCAAACCCTACCAATTTGTAATTTCCAGGCTAGGCACAACTTTTGTTGGTATAACAAATACATATTTGCGTGCATATGAAATTTATTTTTAATGGTCTAAACAATAAAAATATTATTTATTAAGGCCAGCAAATAACTTTTTTAAGGATAATAATGATTTGAGTAATGATTGCATAAGAATTTTGTTAGTAGGATAGTGGTTGTTTGCAGTTTATGGGAAAAAATGGTTTAACCCAAAAAAATTATTTTCAAATCAATTTTCTATTTTCAAAAATAAGAATATAATACAAAATAAAAGAAAACACATCATTAGTTACTAAGCACTACTTAAATCCGACATTTAAAATACAAAAACATATAAGAAATAGGTAGGAACATAAAATAAATGTTTATACTCTGAAACTCAATTCAACAATAGAAAGGTCAATGAAATAGTTACATAGTGTACCTATACTTCTAGATAGCTCAGGTAGTTATCGCCAGACGTAAGTACATAAGAAGTTCACAAAAAATGGTTCCTGAGTACCACATACGTGTTTCCATCAGTATGGTTATGAGATAATACCGGACCATTGAACAAATTTAACAAGTGCTGAAATTGAATAAATTTTAATTCGGTATCAGTAATGCCGATTTCATATGCATGATAGTGCTCACAAAAACCATTTGTTTTCATACGTTGATAAAGAAAACCTATTTCTAGGTTTTGATTTACAATAACATATTCTATAACACCAAATACTGGAAGTAGGTTTTCTATGCCTACAATCACTACGGTACTAGGTTGATAAAGTTTTCCAAATGTTTTAACCCATCTAGTCAAGTAACCTCTCTTAAATTCAGTAGGTACTCTAATTGTACTTAATATTTCTTTTAGTTCATATTCTGAATTAGAATGGGCAGGTCCAGTGAACACAGTGCTGTCATAACCCTTATTTGAAATAAAGCGCACACATAACTGTAATTGGTGCTTTACTGCAAGAGATCTGGTAATATTAATCCTCGACGCTGTAACATAGGCAGTCGTCTTTGATTGCCTATGTTTTGCTTCGAATCTCATGGACGACACATGTATAATAGGACCAATCCTTCTCATAATTTCGGGATAGTGTAGCATGTGATGGTGCTTCGGCTTCAAAGTGTCATTAAAGAGTTTTATATATAATGAATGATGTTCCCGTATTAAATTATCTAATGTAATAATCATAGCATCTGAAATATGTTTGGAAGTAACAATATCTAAAATCTCTCTTAGCACTTAAATAAAAATCCCAAACTTCATTTTTCTGTGCAACCGTATCACCAATTATTAAAGGAAAATATCTTACGAAACATAACATTTCAGACGCCGACATTGTTAGTTTTGATTTTGTGTGAAAGTCACTACTAAGACAAGGTGGTTTATTCCCAATTTCAAACTGATAATTAAATACTTCGATTTTATGATTTAAATTTTCAATTGTAAACAATTTACATTGTATAATGAAATATCTTAGTACGTGTAACATGTCGTAATGACAGACGCCCTCGAACATATCATGCATTACGTCTACACAAAAGTTATTAACAACGTGAAAGGTAGGTAGAGAGTTAAAAATGCATTCTTCTTTGATTCCAGTCTGAGACACATCATTTCTCTCAACGTCATGTGCATAATTTTCAACGGTCCTCTCAGATCCTTCATCTAACGAACAAGCTTTTTGAATCCTTTCTTTAGACATTTTACAAAATCTGCACGGATATTTAGCCGAAAAACTTTCAACAAATCCTGTTAAACCGTGAATACCTAAATTGTCTCCTAGAACTAAACACAAAACAAAATAAACTTTCTTCTCCCTACCGTTAATTGAAATAGTAATACCTTCGGTTTCCAAAAAATGTAATTCATTGATGAGCCTTTTCAATGTTGCACGATTACCAAAACGTTTCCTGTCATTTGCAAAAAATAAAAGTGCTAGAAATATGTTTTCCAAAGACGATCTATATTCCGGTGGAACACAGGGAAAATTCAAATACATGGCGCCCAGTTTGTTTATGCCAGCATGAGATCCCAATGGGTTACCTGCTTCGTAGTCGTCATAATATAAAAAAATGGGGATTATCATATCTTCCTCGTGAAATTGTTTTCTAATGTTTATCCAAAGTTTGCATTGCATAAGATTAGTAGTGATTTTCGATTCCTTACTCAATGTCTGAATGTACCCTACAATTTTTTCGAAGATGTTGGATGTTTCGAAATGTTTTTTAAAAACTTTTCTGAGTGGAATAAACTGAGCTGTAACAGGGAATGTACCATAAGAAACATGCTGTTTTGATTTTTGCAATTTGTTTTCACTTCCGATTTCACATGGTATTGGAGTAATAAAATTGTCATTTTTTTCAAATTCTTTAAAACATAAATACTCAGTCGTCAGCTTCTCAAATGGATTTTCCAAAATTTTAAAAACATTATCTATTTCATTAACAATATGATCCTGAACGGTACTTTCAATTTTGCTAATAATATTTAAAATAATTTTTTTTGTCATCTCTATAAAATGGTTACCAAATAATTCGTTTGTGTACATGATTATGCTCTGCACATGAGACCGAGGTAAAACTGAAGAACTATATAGCCTTGCAACGTACTGTAAAATATGGTTTCTGAACAAACATTTAAAATCAT